GTAGGTGGACAACAGAAAAGACACAGAGAGATGTAGACAGAGATAGAGAAATAGATACAGACAGATCAAGAGAGAGACGAAGATACAGAATATGAGTAGGTAGGTGATTGACAGGAGATAGGAACGCCCACGGGAGCGGTAAGACGACAGAAGGGACGGATGGGTAGAAAAGCCCGTGTGATTCACAAAACTAAAAGCCTGAAACAAATCACAACAAGGACACTTTATCTCAGCAAAATGCCCAGGGACGGGAATTGCCGGGGCAGACGCCAGCCCGGAGGAGAGGCCAGGGCAGGAGGGATGGGGAGCAGGGCTGCCGCGGCCAGAGGGCCGGAAGCCTGTGTTCTCCCCGCGGCGAGGGCAGCGGACGCGGCTGGGCCCCAGCACGTAGGTGAGTAGAGACAGAAACCTCCAACTGAAGTGGCGACACCCAAGCATTCCGCCACCGCGGGAGGGCTGCACATCCGCAAGCTGCCTTCAGCCGGCGGAGCGCACGCTTGTCTGTTTTGCCAAATCTTCACATGAAAAACGATTAATAGAAAAGCTTAAGCCGGACAACCGGGAAAAACAAAGAAATCCCCCTTAGGGGACCGCCAGGAACCCAGATGAGGCCGACATGAGCATGGAACCCAAAGTGACACAGCACAAGAGGGAGACAGCTGCCGCGAGCAGGGACAGAGCCACCAAGTCAGTGGCTGGGGTGTCGAAGAACTCCTGATAAGGGAACTGTGGGCGCCCTAGCAGATAAAAAGTTCAAGAAGGGATGAAATCAAAATCACGTGGAGAGAACAGGCCATTTTGGGAATAGCCAAACAGAAAGTCTAAAATAGAAAACCATCATAACCGAAGTCAAAACTCAGGCGTGGTGTGCGTGAAACAGCAAAGTTGACTCACCTGAGAAAACAATTGAGTGGCCTAGAAAATTCGGGTGCACAAATCTAGCTGGACTGCAGCACTGAGGCAGAACAGAATAAACACAGGTACCCGTATATCTGGAGGGTGACTAAAAGGAGAAAAAAAGCCCATTTAATTGGATTTTCAAAAATGGAGAAGAGATCAAATAAAAAAAAGCAATCTGAATGAAACAATGCATTATAAATTTTCTAAAGGTGAAAAATAAAATAAACCCTCAGATTCAGAAACACATTGCATCCCAAGCAAGACAAAGGGAAAGAAATCCTTAAAGATAAATAATTTGGTTAAAATGTGAATCATAAAAAAAAAATAGGCAGGACGTTGGTCTGGGCAAAGATTTTTTGGGTAAGACCTCAGAAGCGCAGGCAACAAAAGCAAAAATAGACAAAAGGGATCACATCAAACCAAAAGCTTCTGCACAGCAAAGGAAACAGCCAACAGGGTGAAGACGCAACCTACAGAGTGGGAAAAAATATTTGCAAACTATGCATCTGACAGGGGGTTGATGTCCACGCTATATTAATATAAGGAATTCAAACAACTCAACAGACAAAAAAATCTGATTAAAAATGGGCAAATAATCTGAATAGACATTTCTCAAAAGAAGACATACAAATGGCTGACAGGTATATGAAAAGATGCTCGACATCACTAATTATCAGGGAAATGCAAATCAAAACCACAAGGAGATATCACCTCACCCCAGTCAAAATGGCTATTTTCAAAAAGACAAAAACAAAACAAAACAAAAATGCTGGCATGGACGTGGAGAAATGGGAACCCTTAGAACCGTGGGTGGGAAGGCAAGCTGGTACACCCATTACGGAAAACGGTGTGGAGGCTCCTCAAAAAAAGTGAAAGTAGAACTACCATGTCGTTCAGTAAACCTGCTACTCGCGTTCACCCAAAAAACAGCGAAATCAGTATGCTGGCGAGGGAACGGCACCGCCGTGTTCATCGCAGCGCTGTACACGACAACCGGGACACAAGCAGCCTCGTGCGCACCAGGGACGAGAGGACAAAGAAGCGCAGGGCGGATGCCAGCGGGACGCTACTCAGCCAGAGCGACATCCTGCCGTTGGACGCGTCGTGGGTGCGTCTGGGGGACACTGTGTTTAGTAAAGTGAGCCAGGCACAGAGTTAAACACCGCACGTTCTCTCAAACGTGGGAGCTGAAACGTGGATCTCACGGAGACACAGAGCGGAACGGCGGCTGCCAAGGCCGGGAAGGTCAGCAGGGAGGAGGGGAAGGTCGATGGGTATAAAAATACACGGTCAGATGGAGGAGTAAGCTCGCGAGCTCTACAGCACAGCAGGGTGACTGTGGTTATCAACACTTTATTGCGTATTTCACAATAGCTAGCAGAGAGGAATCTGAATGTTCCCAGCACAGAGAAATGATAAATGTTTGGGGTGATGGGTACCTCAGTTACCTGCTTTGCTCACTACACATTGTAAAGATGTATCAACACGTCACGTGTACCTGATAACTATGTAGAGTCATTGTGTATCAATTAAACGTTTTTAAAAATTTTAAATGGGAACTATTCAACAATATAAATTAAGTATTAATACACATCACAACATGAATGATTCTCAAAATAATTATCCTGCATGAACGAAAAGCAGAGAGAGGAAAACAAACACACATTGTATGATTCCATTTAGATAAAATTCTAGAAAATGATAGAAGATCAGTGGTTGCCTAGGGGGAGGGGTGTGCAATGGGGTGGGACCAAAGGGAACTCTTGGGGGCGATGGACATGTTTATTATCTTAATTATGATGTTTCGTGGGTGAGTCCATGTGTCAACTGTCGTTGAATTATACACTTCCAATATCTGAAGTTTGTTGTTCCTCAATGAGCTTCCAGTAAAGCTGCAACACACACACACACACAGAGCAATGTATACACCACACAACCTGAGTGCTTATTAATGGTAGAATAATGGAATAAATTATAGAGCATCTATTTTATTATTTGTAATTACTACTAGAAAACAATAAATTTTGGCTCTGATGAGTAGGTCTTAAGAATCTTGTTTATGGCTGGGTGAGGTGGCTCACACCTGTAATCCCAGCACTTCAGGAGGCCAAGTTGGGAGGATCACTTGTTAGTGGGAGTTTGAGACCAGCCTGAGCAACATAGCAAGACCCCATCTCTACAAAAAAAATTTTTTTAAATAGCTGGGCCTGGTGGCGCACGCCTGTAGTCCCAGCTACTCTGGAGGCTGAGGTGGGAGGATCGCTTGAGCCCAGGAGTTCAAGGCTGCCGTGAGCTGTGACCTATGAGCTATGAGCTATGATCATGCCACTGCACTCCAGCTGGGGTGACAGAGACCCCCATCTCTAAAATTAATAAATATTCCAAAAGGTAAAAAAATTATTTTGAATGTGTATTAAAGTGTTACAACAATTTAGTGATTCATCAAAAGTAAATTTCTTCAGAACAGCAAAAAAAAAAAAAGAGAAAAAGAAAAAAAAGTAGGACTTGGAAGCAGCCACCAAGGAAAACCAGGTGAGGATGCACAGTTACAAGAATGAGAATTAGAATTCTAGGAGAATTACAGTGAGGGACCGAGGCGCCCACAAGATTAGTGAGGAAGAAACTAGCCACACAAGAAAATGAATGTGACAGGGATGTTGGCAAAGTGATCCCCAAAGGTCCTGCGTTGAGGCAGATGGCCTTGCAGGGCTGCACGAGTAATTTCTCTGATGCCAGAAGACTCCATCTAAAACGAACACCAGACGTGAGTTGTTAGAAATGGATGTTTCCTCCCCAAGACACTGTGCAAAACCTTGGCTCTCTGCATGTCCCCCGATCAACACCAAAGGACTCACCGTGGAGTTGCCTCTGACCTGAAGTGCACCCCGTACGGCCCCACAGAGGACTCTCCAGCAGCAGAAGGGACTTGGTGGCCCTTTCCTCTGGGGGATCTCGGGGAGAGGCTGGTGCTCTGCAGGTGCTGGGATCACCTGACGCCTGGACAAGAGAATCACCGCGTGCGCACTCGAGGGCAGCCTCATTCCCACCAAGGAAACGCCCCTAAACAGCCACACTGCGAATCCAGTCCCCGGTGACGTCGCTCAGGGGAGGGAATGGATGACGTCCCGCGGCACAGCCGGGACACGTTGAGGAGAGACGCCCTGCGATCGAGCAGGCCGCCACGCGGTGGCATGTTTAGGGACCACGAGAAGAAGGGACAGAAGACGGAATGCATGGAGGTGAATTTGAACGAGGCCTTCCAGGAGGGGCGACGGCCTGGGGCACACTCAGGAGGCGGGCGGTGCTGGTGCGGAGGCCCTGCACCCGCCCAGGCCTCGCGAGAAGTTATTTCCGTGATCCCGATCCCGACACCCCCTTCGCCCAGGCACGGGGAGGACCGGCGCGTGTGCGCGCGCTGAGGGCCGCCGTCCTGAGGGCGTGTGAAGACGCAGGAGGGAAGAGGGTGCCGGCCTGGGGAACCAGGCAGCCTTTATTAATGGAGAAGATGAAGTATTGTGTGTGCACCTGGAAAGGCGGCGGGGAGAGACAGTCACCCTTACAGACGTCACCAGTCTACACCGTTATTGTTGGTTCGGCAAAATGGTTTTGATGAATCCCGATTTGCTCTCACCTATGCATAAAAATTGCCTTTAGTATCATCTTCTTCCGAAGAGCAATAGGCTTCGGGCCGGGCGGGACGAGTCCCAGCTGGTGCTCCGGGGAGGCTGGCACCGCGCCGGGCCGCGGGGTGGGGAGGGCGCCAGGGGCCATTCGGGAAAGAAACTGAAGCCCCGGGCGGGGGCTGCCGAGCACGCAGCGGGCCTGCGCAGCGACTTCCGGGGCCTGGACAGGCTGCACGTGCTGCCGGGTC